TTTTTTGCTCTATTCTTGAGTATCATATGTTTTTATAAAGAAAAAAGAGGGAGGGAGAGAGAGAGAGAGAGGGAGAGAGAGAGAGAGAGAGAGAGAGAGAAACAGAGAGAGAAACAGAGGAGCATGAGAGATGAAGAGGAGAAAAGAAGATGAAGTACAAGTATGTTTAGCCTGGGGACATTAAGTCGTTCCTAATCTCTCACAGAAAGCTTATCATTCATATTTCTTCGAAACTCTTACATTACCTTCATATTTTCTTTAGGTTTTCAACTTTAGTTCTGCTACATAATCATTAAATTTTACCTTTAATTTTATAGAAGGAGTTGGGAAGTCGTCGTCGGCATCAAAGTCGTCGTCGTGACAGGAGAACTATGTCATCCGACAGCAGTGGCGACGTTGGCTTAAAGAAAATCGGGCAAAGCTTATTCACCAATCAAACCAATGACAAGTTAGTTAAATATATGTCTTACTCATAAGTATAGATATACTTTTCTGCTCAAACTATACGTATAACTTGAACGCAAAAAAAATATTCATAAGAAAAGCAAATTGATTGATGAACAAAGTGATGAGAAAGAAACAACACACACCACTTGTCTCTTTTTCATTTTGAAAAGAAAACTTTTCTTCTGGAGAAACTGCTGAAAAATAAAGCTTAAGGAGGGTGTTTGACATGAAGATAAAAAACTTTGAAGAAGGGCCCTCTCTCCTCTTTGAAAGTTCATTTATGACATTGGCCGGAAATGGCGAGTTTCACAATTTTTTTTCTTCTAACACGTTCTTTAAATCTTAATGAAATTGTTCATTTAAAAAAATCTGTCTTCTATTGTCTTAATGAGAATTGGTGAGATTAAGGGGAAAAATAGGGGAGTTAGGAACAAAGAGTGAAAATAGGTTCAAAGGAGAGAATGAGAGAGTGTGAGAGAGTGAAAGGAAAAGAGTGAAAGATGTATAGATAGAAGAAGAGAGTTATAGACAGGCAAAAGAAGAAGAGAAAAAGAGGAGGGTGGGGTGGAAGGCAAGCAAAAGGAAGAAAAAAAAAGAAGCAGAGTAGAAGGAAAAGCCGCAAAGTTTTCTCAAGGCTGACAGGCTATGAAATTTATGAGAAAAGGACTCGAGAGCTTCTTTTCATCGCTATGTCGTTGTGAATAAAGCGTTATGTATAACTCATAATTCTCTTTCACTCTATTCTGATGTTAATTATGATGTCATTGTGTAACACATTATCATCTATATATATATATTAAGCTTTCTATTATCACAACTTGCTTCCATACCATTTGATGCGCAACATATATTGGAAATGGAAACGACCTAACGAAAAGAACTATAGAAAGAAAATATAAAAATTAAGCTCAAATGCAGTTCATGTGATTAACAGTTGTCATTAAAATACTTGAAGAACAGAATATTCATGTCTGTGCTCTCCGAAGCTTGCTTACTCTGTTGTGATATTTCAATCAAATGTTTCTTCTCTTTCGAACAAATTTTTCAATTGAAAAGTCTCAAATCAGTTGGTTATCATTTTGAAGAAAAGATATTTCAGGAAATATCTTGTTAAATCATTATTATATATATATATATATATATATTCTTTCTTTCTTTTTTTCATTTTTATATTTGAATATATAATACTGATGATGATAATGATGATCAAGTCATTGTTTCAGCCTCTCCTCTAATATTAGCAATTGGTCTGATATTCCTAATTTTGTCTACGATTACGAGGACATTCGATTGGTCAGTTTACTATAATTTTCTTCTTTGTTTCACTCTCACACTTATGATGAAGAAAAGAAAATTGTCTTTGAATGCGTCCGTTAGTATCTTTATTCTTCCTCTTCATTATCCTTCTTTTACCATTTTTCCTTCTTTTTTTTCTTATTCTGCTTATCTATATATAATATATAGTTATAATATATATATATATATATATATTTAAACGTGTTTTTAATTTCTTTTTTTCAGGCAATGACTTCTCTGTGTCAGTTTCGCGGTACAACCGAAAACTATATTGTTATAACTGTCTTCATTATAATATTCTTATTATCTGTTATTGGTAATTCACTGGTTATATTAGTTATCTTAAAGGTTATAATATATATATAATATTATTATTAATTATATATTATAGCAACGTCAAATGAGAAGCATCACCAATATCTATTTGATTAATTTGGCTTTTTCCGATTTGATGTTATCTGTCATCTGTATGCCGCCAACACTTGGTACGTTTTTGTTTTGCTTCATCTACTTCATCTTCTACTTCATCTTCTACTTCTTTTTCTACTTCTTCTTTTTTTTTTTGCTTATGATTCAAAAAAAAAACAACCGCTCTGTTCGTCAATTTTATGAAAGAATAAAGGAAAAAATAATAATGGATGACATGTTTCACGTGGTCATGCACGTGACAATTAACGTATGCTAATATTAAATACCATCAGATTGTTTTAGTGTGTGTGAGCGAGAATATGCAAATCAGCATTCACGTATTCTTATATAGCGTGAATGACTTTGTGTGTATGTGTGTGCATCATGTGATTCATTCATTTAATACTTTTGAATTATATTTCTTCTTCTTTTTTTTCAGTCTCAATGGTTATGAATTGTTGGTTATTTGGAAACACTATGTGTAAGCTGTTTGCATACCTACAACGTACTTTAGTTATGAACATCATTAATTAATATATGAATATTGTTTAGCTGTGGTTGTATCTGGATCAGCTTATACACTAGCTGTAATTGCATTTGAACGATATTTTGCTATTTGTAAGCCGTTACATTCACGTATATGGCAGACAAGGTATTATATTAACACTATATCACTCTTAACTATATGTACATATATTTTAACTATATATACTATATACTCAATTGATGAAATATATTTTTTAGATCACATGCATATGCTATGATAACAGTTGTTTGGGCCATAGCTATTATAGCTAATGTATTCCTTATTTTTATGTACGAAGAACGGGTAATACTATATATTTAATTATAATAGATTAATTATGTGAATATACTTTAAGGGTTATGATACGCCTAATGGAACCGGCATAACATGCACTCCTATATATCCTCCAATGTATCATTTTGCCTATCAAGTAATTTATCTATATATAACTTATATACATATAATTATATATATTTATAGGTTTATATGACAATCGTCTTATGTGTTGTTCCGCTAGTAGTTATGATTACCTTATATAGTACTGTTATTCATCAATTAAAAATGGGTATCAAACTTGAAATAGCTGCAGTGGCTGAGAATTCGGATGCTAATGAAAGTAAATATTTTCATTTTTTATTAATTTTTCTTTTTTTATAACAAAAAATTCATACGATATATATGTATAGTTATTCTTGTATATTATATATTCCTTAAATAACAAACGGCTTGAAGACTATTTCCTTTTTTGTGAAGAGATTCTATGAATAATCCGTATTTCCCACAATTTCATCTTTCTCTCTCCCCCCCCCGTCCTTCCCTCCGTTTCTTGCCTCCGCCCAAAATAAGAGTTCTTCAAAAACTATACGATGAAAAGCTTTTTTCACTCATACATTTAGTTTATTCTTTCTTAACCATCTATATATTGTTAACCAATTATTCTATTTCAGACAGCGTTGATGATATTGTCGATGCTGTGCACAATTCTAATAATGGAATGTTGGCGAAGCTCAAAAAAAAAATTCGCAGTGCTCAGCCTAATCGTGAAAAGCTGAGGTTACTTGAAGCTTAAATTCCAATTCATTCAATTGTGCTTGTTTAGCTCTGCTCGAAGCACAGGAGCAGCTTCAGTGGGTTCCGTTCCATCCGCCTTATCTCATCGACGAAGTGAAACGTCAGTGCTTGAGAATGCATTGCGTTCAACGCACAACCAGAAATCAGCAATGGCAAAACAACGAGTAATTAAGTGAATATATAAATATATAAACATAATAATTAACAATATAAATATATTTAGAATGTTAATAGTGGTTGTTGTAATATTTTTCTGCTGCTGGACACCATCATACATTTGGTGGCTGCTGTTAATGGCTGGCGACTCTTTTGAAGTATCCATTAACATCATTGACGTCTAATTCAATTTATAATTACAGAAATTAGGATTATCTGTATGGAATAGCGACATCAATACATTTATAACGCTATTAACATATATATCATCATGCACAAATCCTATAACATATTGTTTTTTGAACAAAAAATTTCGAAATGCCATCTATGCCATGTTTGGACGCAAAAAAGTTATTCGTCATCATTTTCAAAAAGTAAGTTTTGTATTATTTTAATTTGTTGTGTTTTTATTTTTATTTAATATTAATTTTATAGTTAACTATATGCTTTATTAGTTAGATATAGTATTAGTATAATCTATTGCATGTGCTTTATATTATATACATCTATATATACTTATATATATATATATCTTTATAACCATATTAACTCCTTTCAAGGTTTACATACCGGTTACGAGTGCTTCACCCAAAATTCTTGTGAAACATCCAAACATTAACAGGTAAACAATCTCCCTTTTAACATATTCTACTGCATGTTTACTCTATGTCTAACTTGTTTTTTCTGTTTTCATTTAATACTTTTCCACAGAATGCCTAGAGTTTCTGAATCTTCTGTAAGTTTTGAAACAGCTTCATGCTATAGCTTCAGCCTACAGCTCATATTGCTTTGAACTGTTTAGTGCTTCTTGAATTTGAGAGAGGAAAACAAAACATCCTGTTCTAATCATTTATATATATATATTTTGTGTGTGTAACAAAAATATAAGAGAAAAATAGAAAGAAAATACTTTCGCACTCTTACAGGTCGATATCAACGAGCTCCAATCTACAACTACAACAAGTCGCTTCTGATTCTCGTTTGCAAGCAATTCGACGAACATCATCCACCTCAGCTAGTCATGTGCGTTCAATTTTTATTTAAATAGATTATAATGTTATATTGTAAATGGTATAGATGACAACGTTTGTGATTCGTCGACCAGCCGGTGTAACACATCAGCCTCATAGTCTACCTCGTATGGATATGATTAGATGAGAATTTAGCTCATAATTAAGAAGATAACAACATTTAACGAAGAAAAGATTCTCTTGTTCCTGATCTCATATATTCCTTCTTTCACAATGATTACGCAGGGTGTGTTCTTTTGTGAGCAGCAAAAAACCGAAATAGAAGCTTGAACCAACAAAACGTTGAAGCAGCATAAAGTTATTATTCATTATACGGGTTATGTATATATACTATATGTATACATATTCATCTATACATGTTTCATTATTGTCGTCATATTGTTGCTAAAGAACAAACATGTGGTTCTATGAGATTATTAATTTTTGAAAGCTCAATAAAATAATTATTTATCGTTAACATTTTGCAATCCTTCTAAATGCTTATAGTATAAAGCTGAAGTCCAGGAATATCCCTTGAAGTAAGCTTCTCCCGTCGCCTTCAAATTTGTTAATGTTTGAACATCTCGTAATCGCTCTGCTTGTTGGTTCCGATAAATCTTCCATAAAAGTAGGGGAGAAAGTGCACAATATTCGGGTACTATCTGAAAAAGTTTTAAAGTTTTTCATTTTCTAGAAGAAACAATTTCTTTCTTTCTCACCCTTTTCCTTCTCACCCTTTCATTTATCCACTTCCTTTCGCTTTATCTCTTTTGCTCGCTCTTTCTTTCTGTCTGTGTTCCAGATCGATCTCTGAGAATATCAAAAAGTCAACAAGTTTCGTTTTGAGAAATTAGAAAAGCTTAAAAATAGTTTCCTACTCTCTCTCTCACTCTCTCTCTCTTCTTCAAAAAAAAATTGTTTGAAAGAGGTTTTTGAGCCACGAAAAAAAACGAACATAAACAATGGCAAAGATAGTGCGTTGGAGCATGGCGTTTGACGTGATGAAATCCATAGATGGAATGACAGCATTGGCGATGTAAAAGAAAGCAAAAACGATAAAATGAAAAATCATCCAGGGCATGAGAAGACGAAAAACGGCCGAATTTTCTCGTAGTTGATAATTCAAGCGCAAGTCATATGTTATACTGAATATGACCAGAGTATTAAATAGATGAAAATTGAAATTATTACCATTTACGACGTTTCTCATTTATGAGGTTAACTAAATAGTATGCTATTATAACAAATGCATCAAATGATAGCATGCAGTAGGATGTTAACGATATAGCTGAAGCTGAAAATCTTGTTACAGCATTACAGTATGGAGTCTTTTCAGTCCATGGCGTCAACGTTTGTGATGTTAGAGGCATTATAACTGATATTATAATCTATAAATTAATTATTATTATATATATTTATGTTAAATATGATTCTTACTGTTACAATGCATATTATGGGACCGTAATACTGTTTCGTTTCTTCATAATTTCGAACTAAACATGTTGCTAATAAACGCTCAATTACTATTCCACCATTTATGACAACAAATGAAAACATAGCTATCATGGCTGGATAGCGGAATATGAAGCAAAATGATTGCTTAAATTCCAATTCACATCCATCGACGACAGTTAGAAATCTATACAAATGAACAGACTGAAAGAATCATGTTCATTAGCATACATTCTACCTCTAACACATTCAATCCTCTTCTATAATTCTATCATATTCATATTAACTTACTTGTAGACATATATAGATTAAAGAATGAGCACAATTCATACATATGGCTGTTATTATGAGAATCTGTAACAAAAAAAGGAAGGAAAATATATAAATATATGTATATTCTATCATTTCTTCACCTTAATGTTATAATGAAAATAGATTTTTGGAAAAATCGTTTTTATAAACAAAGTATTTGCAACTAATGCCACAATACTACAAAATATATGAAGCAGAAGGACACTTTGAAATCCACGAGCCGTAAGGAATGTTGTACTGTCCGGACAAGCAGTTGTTGTCGCCAATGAACTCATCTATAATTTGTTTCATAAATGCTTTCAGTTCAACAATAGCAAGACAAAAGTATGACCGCCTTTTGAGCTAACAGATATTGCAATACGAAGTTCTGTTTCACATATCAGCTTACGTGAAACTCCACGCAAATTTCACGTGAACATTTCTTCGCATGATGAAATTATGAAAAAGTAAGAAAAATACGAAAAATGAGGGATATTGAAAAAAACAAATGTTTGATGGTTTTGTTAAAGATGAAAGCTGACAGATGGATATCATTTTGTGAAAAAGTTTATGAGGAAGACGATCAAACGAACGAAAGTGTTTCATGACATAAAAAAAATAGAAATCATTCTAAGAAAAATGCATAGCATATCTCTATTTCCTTGTTCATTAACAAAGAAATAGTAAAACATAAGCACTATGTAGCTTGAGGAGCATGATAACAGCTAAAACAAGAAGAGAGAGAAAGAAAGAGAGAGAGAAAAGGGGGGTAGAGACCTTTTTTACGGTGACAAACTACGGAGAAACTCTGTTATATAATTTATACGATTTTTACGGCTATTTTTCACATAATTAGTACTATCTGAGCTGAGTGAGCTCGTCAACGTACAAAAAAAACCGTTGGAAGCTGCCCACATTTCCAGGAGCTATCATGGGAAAAGATAAAATGGAAAGAATGAGGTGAAAAAGCGAAAGACCGTCGTATTTCAATTCAAAATGGGAATCAAATCCACTGACGCTCCGTCGTACTGATGCTGAGAATAAGAAAAATCAGCTTTTAATTAGAAAACTTTTTTTCTTTTTCTTCCAAATGTTTGCTTCATCAATGCGGTAGGGCTCAGTCGGATATAGTCAACATGAGTTGAAAAATAAAACAAATTTTTCTCCTCGAAATTGAACAAATCACAATAAATGCTGAGCGTCTGGAAATTAATGGGAAAAAGGCTAAGAAAAATGAGGGAAATGAGATGCAATCAGCCCAGTCATTGCGTGGCGTTGTCGTGAGATTCCAGCTATTAATAATTTTGTCAATTCAACTCTACAATAATTTTGACAAATCTCACTTCTTGCATAGTTTCTTAAGCATCCAATCTCCCGGATATCCGGAGATTAGAGCGTATCGACGTATCAACCTTTCAATGCCAGCTGCAGGGTACGAGCCCAATACTTAACAAAAATGATCTTTCTGTTTTCTTCGAATAGCTGCTGAATTCTGGTCGCATAAATATATTTTATAGTTATTATTGGCCTTTCAAAGAGCTTAGTTTGAGCTGAGACAAGAAGAGGCCTTTTTCCTACCGCAAAATACTTGGCTTTATGAATATTTTATGTAAGTAACTGCAGAAAATACTAATAGTTGTCATACAAAATGTTCACCCGTTAGCTATTATACAGACAAGAACCCACGAATCAAAAAAAAATTTAGAAGGTTTCCTCTGTTTCAAAATTAACTCAGTTCGAAGCCGCTCTCTGCATGGATCGCATATCGCAACTTGGACAGCAATACTGATTTCTTGTTATAATTTGGAAGTTTTAACAGATTGAAGCATGTTGAAGCTAAAAACAAACGAATAAATACGACAAAAGAAAAGTGCTTACCTGTTGGCAGCCTTGTAACCGACTGACTCCTCCTCAATGCTAGAAATCCCCGCACCACACTGCCCAAAGTATCGCCAGTGTCATGATCATCGGAAACTTCGACACATCGAATTGAGAAAGGTGGTTCCAAATATGAGAAACCAAGTAGCGGAGGCCTCGAACAGCTAGTAACAAACTAAAACAACGAAAGGTTATAAACCATATGTCTCAAAAATATTCATGTTTCAGGCTTCCGAACATAACCATATTTTTACCACGCCCGAACAAAGATCAATTTGAATAGAATCATTTTCACGCAAATCTCTACGCGTATCGGTTGTATGGTGTTCGTAAGTGCAAACTTTTGTTTTATTACTTTTAAGAATAGTCGTCGCTCTTCCGCGCTAAACTCATTTTCCACGATGTCCCAAAGCCATTTAATTAGGCGATGACTACCATGAAAACCACCATAGTATTGCACATGTTTTTTCAAATCAGCAATATCGATGTCACTGAAATGAGCATAAGGAAATGAAATGAAGAATTTATAGATACCACGTTTGGCCACTTATAAGATACTGGATCTCATGTGGTGCAAAAAGGGACAGCCATTGTGTTCTTAAGATGGATTGAATCCCATTAACAAACGCTTTACACTGATTCCTCGTTTGTCCAAAAACACGGTGATACGCCATACGATGAATATAATCAATTCTAAACAAAACTAAATGTCATTACGTTTTATCCTCAGATGTTGTACTTGTTTTCATTCGTGACCGTTATAGTCCTTCCACCTGGTATGAGATCAGTAGTCACTACTTTCCCCAGCAAGTCCTCATTTATAGAAAAAGTAAGAGACAAGTCCGATATGTCGCCCTCGTAACGTTTCACGAACGTCAAATTTTTATATAGCTCAGGATCTAGTTGATAAAGTTCGTCAAACGCACAGAGACGACGTCCTCCCAAAACCTAGAAGCTTTCAGTATTTCAGTGCCGATTATCAAAACGTACTGCTGCTAGAAGTACAGGAGCAAGTTGTACATCTACGACTATCCCTTCAAATACCGCTTTACCCAACATTCTACCAATGAATTGAAACAAATCAATGTGGTCTTCATGTACGAAAGATGTAAGCGAAGGATATAAAACCCCAGATGACGTACTCTATCAAGAGAAATATATGAAAATAACAAGATGTTGCTCACAGACCATGAAGAGATTGAGAGAAGGGTTGAAAACGTGCTTAATAGTCATTTCTAAGAACTCTTTAAAAACACCGTCTTGATCAATACCCGCTTCTTCGAGCCCCTACATGTATTATTTAATCATTCTAAATATGTATGAATAATCACCTGCTGATTTACAAATTTAACTCTAATGACATTCTTCATAGCTTTATCAGATAGCATGGATAGCTGACGATACCCATCTTCTACAATTCGATTGCGAGCCACAGTTATAAGAGAGGCAGGGCCTTCGATATTACACTAAAAACATTTTAATACGCATTTCTCATGAGTGTTCCCTTACTTTCTCTTCACTTATGAACTTCCGAAACAACAACATCCTCTCTCTAAGAAGGATACAATGACTCAATTTCTCCATTACCAATAGTCCTCGTTGTGTTCTTTTTTCGTACTCGGAAATCAAAGCAGTGCTTTTGATATCGCTGAAACACGATTTTGAAATTCGGAAATCCACTTTAAATCCACTGACGGGCTAAGCCAAAACTTAGGATCCGATGTGAATGCCTTACGACAATCACGAGCATAGAGAATCAGAAGTAGTCCGTGAATGGCTGCAAAAACTCCTCGATCAACATTCTCTTTATCTGTAATTTGTCAAGCTACACATTAAGAAATTAAAAAATTTGGTACTTATTATTCCTTGCCATATAGCTTTGAAACAAAACCAATTACAGAACTTTGCTATACCAAGTAACTCCGAAGTTGGGAATGGTATACCTTTATCATACATTTCCTCTTCATCCAGTATTCTGAATTGAAACGTTGAAAACAAGTCTCCTTAAACAACATACGATATGACAGAAGATGCAGCTTCAGCGAAGAGATGTAGAGGAGCGGCATGTGTACTATTTGGACGTGTGAGAATCTTAAGCGCTGCCGTTAAAGGGACGGGCTCAGAAGATGAAGCAGCGTAAGGACTACCCCATCTTTTAAGATAAGCCCATAACTGTTGCAATAGAAGGTCACTATGGCACATTCCTAGGATAACATGATTTGTCCGAGATTGCAAATGATGATTTACCTGAGATAATGTCTCCTTTCAAGTGTGGCATGCACGACAGAGTTGACACATAAACAGAACAAACAACAGCAGGTAATGTTGGAGGTTCTTCGTGAATCGCACTAGTTTCCAAATTCGAGCCTCCACCCCCACCAATTCTTTTGAATAGTTCTGCAATATTTTCTACGTTGTCGCGTAGATACTCAAAAAAACATACTCGAGAAGGTCGTACTTATCTCATTTGACGAGTTCAAGTCATTCTTGGGTTTTGACGACTCCGAACTCTCGAAAGCTATTTGAAAGATTCCAGTAACCACTCTACTACTCCAGAGATATCTTAGCTGCTTTATAACATTTTTTAATGCTCCCTCTGTCCTGTAAGCATATAATGCTTTGCGCAAAGAAAAAAGAACTAGACTTTTGATCAATGGGTAGTTTGTAATTTCCGAAAATAGGATGCCAATGGTTGTGACTTGATTTAGTTCCAGGTCTGACAGAAAATTCTATACATTGAGCCATTGTCGTACCCAGGAACCAAGTCCAATCCAATAAAGTTTCTTGTGTTAACTGAGAAAAACAGATCTGTTAAAACATGGAAGAGAGTGTAACCTTTGTAGATAGGTTAATATAACCCAGATGAATCATATTTCCCATCAAGTTGATTTTACGCTGAGGTTCAACATTCTCAAAAAGTTCCGGCTCAACTCGAAGTTTCATAAGCGTTTCTACGAACAAGTTTCCATTCGAGAAAGCTTTGAGATTCTGAATTATTTTGATAGAGCGTATCTTAAGCTATACGCATAACTTACAGGTTGAGAAAGATGTAATGTTATGGCCGGGCATATGAGAATCTTTTTGATAAAAATCGGCAACAATTCTTGGTTTACCTCCTCACGGAATGGCTTCATAATTATAGAAAATAACGCATTCAACGCTTCAACACTGATGACTGGTCGGTAGTCATTGCAAGCCACAAACAAAGAGATCTAAGTAATACATGTAAGTTGATCTTTATTTGAAAAAAACTCACTGCCATCTTATTATAATTAGCTTCTGTATACAGGACGCTGGACATTTTTTGGCACATGCTGTTGAGTATGATTTGAATCTAATAATAGAAGAAAGTGACTTTGAAGAAGGAAATGCAAACTCACTTGAACGGCATTTTTTACATAGGACCAGGTTGTGGCCGATCCAAAGACTAGCATGAAATGAATTAATAGCTGCCATTTTTTTATTTCCGAGACTCGGGAAGTCTGGATTAAAAAATGGGAAACTTCATGAGATCACATTTCAAAATCTTACATCAACATTATAAATCGAATCAGGTATGAGAGATAAGATATGAGTCACCAGTTGACTAGTTTGTGATATAGTATCCTTCGAAAGGAAAGCTGAGGTAATGTTTGTTTCTTTGGTTCCATCCAGAGAAATAATCAATAAACGGCAAAACTGATACAACACCTGCAAAATGAGGTACCCAATGAACTCTTGAAAGTGCTAACCTCCGTTTTAGGTGATAACAACTCATTCTTGATCAAGAAACTGCCATATTCCAAGATAGTCACAGGAGACAACAATGTTTTTCCTGATCGGTCAAGATCGTCAAACGCGGCAAGTTTCTGGATGATAATTTCCCTGTAAAGATAGCAGTGAGGAAACAACTAGCTTCATTCAAAAACCTCTGATCTAGAAACTGCGAGTCTTCAGAAGTCTCATTCATTTGTCTACATAATTTCTACGAAAAAAATCTATAAAAACTGGGCAAAACAGCACAACAGAGCAGAATACGTAACTATTGGATTTTAACCATATGCGTCGAGCAAGAAATACATACAAAGAAAACATGAAACATTTTATTAAAATCTTAATGAAAATCATAAGTAATGAAAGCTTCTCAATATGGCAAGTTGACTAGATTTAAAGCACTTTGATTGGCAAATAAAGCAATTAGATTGAAGTACATATTTGGCTGTGAGAAAACAAACTTCATATCACGTTCTTAAAGAAATTGATAAGAAAAACTTACAAATGGCAGAATATACAAGACTTATTTACACTTCTGTTTGAGTTTTAGATCCTTTATGCATGGCTTCTTTCTCCCTATTCTCTGAAACTGAACGGTGAACGCTTCCTTTTGGTCGCATGGAATTCATAACGATCGCCTGAGCTCTTTCATCTGCTATAAAAGGAAGATGGAAATAAATTACTTCAGATTTTCAAAGAGTTGTGTATTCACATCCACTTGTACAAACCTGTGTTGTGTTTGGTATTTTTACTTCGCATTTTACGTTTAGCGGCTATCAAATCAATTTGTCTTTTTGTCCTGGGAATACGAATTCGCATGAAACAACAAACCAACACAACTGGAAAGAGAAGGAAGGAGCTCACTAAAAGCTTGAATTATAAAAAGTTGATGTACCCATAATCAATAAAACGCCTGACACCAACGCTATTAACATCCAAAGCCGCAGTCCAGGCGCTACATGCTGATCTAAAGCTGACAACTGACTATTCGTGTCCATAACCATATTAACCTATAATGAATACAAATATTAGAACAGGAGAGACATACAAACACAAAACAAATGCCAACAGGTGCTGTTGGTGCAACTTCAATATGTATGCCCGAATGACTTTCATCTGAGATCCTAGGTTTGGTTGTAAAGTAACGCTTAACCGACTATTAATGCATCGGACCTATGCGTCTCGCAACTCTCAGAAAAGGAATTAATTAAGTAGAGTGCACAGGCGGGAAATTAAAAACTTTGTCTCGTTTAATGAACCTTTGCGAGCTACACTTTGAGCAGGAGATATGAGCGACGAGTTTCAACGCCTTTAAATGAACAATAAGAAGATTTCTTTCATAATACTTTAATATATTGAATACTCATAGAGTAATGTAAAAAGCAGCTCATATTGCTGACTGGTGAGAAGCAAATATTTTTATGAACGTGGAATAAACGTTCATTAACATTTTTCAAACAAATGTGGCATTTGGCACCTAAAAATACTCGTATGATATACACCAGAATAAAATTAGAAATGTGACAAGAAGTTAGATCGCATCCAACTTCAACGGTCTTTTAGGGAAATATTTGGCTTTTAACATTTTTTCAATTGTTTCTGTTTTCTTCTTCAGCCATTCCAGGTCATCTCCCATATACGTATAAATAAACTCATCAATAGTATCCTATAAAAATCAATCAGAAACGTCAATGAACCCGAAGAAACATACAGAAAAATAGATTTTCTCCATTTCAAACCTTAACCGAGAAGCTAATTCTTTTATCCTTTCGAGTTTATCTTCGATCATAGGCTGGATTTTCTGTAATAGTTCGGTAAACCACTGATGTTCAGTATTGGGACTCACATCTATATACCATCGACTAGAGACTAGTTGGCTATCAGCCACTCTACTCAACCATCCATTCAACTCATAATCATCTTGATACCTTTTCAAGTCATTATGAAACCGATAATACTCGTTGACTATCTCATAAATCTGAAAAAATCCTTCAAATCACGTTTGAATTATCCACAACTTACATTTTTTCCTGGAAACTGACATCCCCTCGTGACTCCCATCTCTACTGCTGGACGGCAATTCATATTCTCATAAGTTAAAGGGTATTGATTCAAGACACGAGCTTCCTATAAGTGGCACATATGGCATATAAGTAGAGGTCAATAATTTCACCATAATAGTCTCCATTGACATGGATAGCGTAGGCAAGGCTACAGGCAACAACTCGGCCAAAACGGCCAAATGATCATAACGAGACCATCCGGTCATGATTAATCCCTGAAAAAAAGTTGAATACTCCCTCATACAACACAACAAACTTGTATGGAACTAAATTCTTTGTACACTCGAGTGAACTGTGTTGTCCAAGATTGATGATTTTTTATATAATGAATAGGATTAGAGTTATATCTGGCAGGGCCATCGGCACCCTTCCAAGCAGAACTTCCCCATACCTTGTTGAATGGCTAAAACGAGGTTTAAAAAACATGTTCTGTTTGGTGAGAAACCTTCAAAGAGTTCCAAGTGCTATAAGGCAAATACATGTCTAGATCTTCGGCATAACTCCAGAGGACAGGCTCAAGCAACTGGAATTGAAAAAGTTAGACTTCAATCTCGCATTCACTCGAAGCTCACGTTTGTAAGGTTATAGCGCATTATATCCGCTTCAAAAGCTTGAGCAAACATATCATGCCATGCAAGGACTGTGGTCTTAAATAAGGAATAAGTTTTGCTAGGGTATACAGCTGATTTACATTGTGAGTTTCTTTAATGTGAGAAGCGGTTCTACTTATATGCCATAACGCCAGGCGATCTCTTGAACCTTGTTTTCCCAACTCCTTCACGCTTGCATTGCAAACTCCGATCTTAAATTACTAAGGGTTAGGTTATGTTCTTATTATCGTAATAAACTTGAAACACTTCATCAGCACCCATATGGAAGTACGGCATACCATACTTCTTGTGTACAGAAGCCACTTGATCAATCATTTCCGTTATCAGTTTCCATGATTCTGATAATGGAAAACATATCACCTCAAAAACGTAGTGTTCAACAGAGAAGAAAAACAAAAAATATATACCTGAGGAAAGCGAACATCCTCTCGAAGATGTTGGAACGGTTCAAGCTTAAGAATCCATTCCAAATGCCCAAACGTTTGAACTAATGGAATGATATCTAAACGATGTCGCCGAGCTTCTTGAAGGATACTTTCAATCTGCATATAAATGTAAGAATTCTCATATATTTAAACAAAGATACATCTTCCATTGAATAAGCGTTTCCATTAACAGCCTCAGCAAGCACACCCGTATAGGGAAACATATCTTCCCATTCGATAAGAATCCCAGTTGCATGAATTCGTTTAAAAAAATAGAACAACTCTGTGAAAAACTCAGGCTGGGAAAATTAAATAGATGAGAAATAAAAAATGAAAAGACGCGCATACTTTGTAGGGAGCTCCTTTCAAATCTAAATGAATTACTCTACGTTGAGGAATAAAGTTTCCATTCGTATTTAACACAGGATATTTCTGTCCATTAACAATTTCATTAGTCAACACAGGAGGCTTTCTATTAATTTTTCTGCAATAATCGTAAAGTGTCAAAGAATGACACATAAAACTAACAAAGATTGTGATTCCAGAAAACCATCAACTCGGGCAATATCTATCCCATCATCAGCCTCATTCGACACAATTGGCAAAGGTTTTAGATTACCAATTTGATTGTCTAAGTTGACTCTGGGATCATCATCAATATTTGTTTCCTGAATTGAAGATTAAGAGTGCATTCTTTGTATTTTTTTCTTACTTCTACTCTGGGTTCCGGTCTAGGTTCAATTGCTTTAGCATAAGTGAAATGAGATTCTTTATAGTGATTAGTAAAAATTATAAATAACGAAGTAAGTCCAGCTAAAAAGAGAAGCCGGCAACATTTCGCTCTTCCAAATCGCATCGTCAATAATTAGGAACGTATTATTTCATTCCAATACAGTTTCAAAATCTTTTTTTATCAGGGACGCCTCTAGTTAGTACTCTGCAAACAACAGAACTATAAAAAAAATAAACAACAATATGATAAGAAAAAGAAAGTTATGGCTAGTTCAAATTGAATTGAAAAAAACAATTGTTCGTTGCTTCCTGAGAGGAAATCGGACTGAAATACGCAGTTACTACCAAACCCAATATTTTCTAGTGAACATGCGGTCTATCGACGATAATGATGATACTCAGTCTAGCTTACTGGTCAACATTCAGAATCCAAGAAAAAAAGAAAGCTTTATTGCTTATGGTATATGTGCATGTGGATATTATGATCGATGCGTTTCAGGGGAACGAATGCTAAACAAGGAGTTGGCCAAGCCGTATGGGATTTCCTAACCAAGGACATAGGTCGGTCTTCCGTCCTAGCTCAGAAATGTTCATCAAAGCGCATATAACATTATTCAAATTTATCATCCAAAAAAGCAGCTCAAGAAAACTTCAGTTTTCCGATTATGTTTTCATTGCGAACAACAAACAGTATTCTCTCTCCTGAGCGGTTAAGTGGCAGATAACGAATAAATGGTGAGAACAAATAAATGGATGAGGAATAGCTATCTTATATGAAACTGATTCACTTTCAATTTGTTATTCAGAAGCAGTGAAAAAAGAAGACTTTTCAAAAAGACGAATAGATATGACCTAAAAACATACACGCTATGTGAACTCTGATTTTTGATTCAGAAACTAAATTTTAGAGTTAAAAACTGATTATGGTGGAGTTTGAGTGATTTGAAAGGTTGCTGTTGACATTATGTTAACTAAACTTAGAAAGTTGGACGTCGAACATAGGCAATGATTAGAGACTATGAAAGCAAAAGGTAGCAACACTGTTCTTGCCGCCATCAAGATTACAGAAGCGATTTACTCAAACGAAAGATGAGAAAGTGAAGTCTACATGTTGAAAATCCCTACCTTCGTCAAGCACATAACACAGTAGAGTGAAACCGACCACTTTAGACAACAAAATATGAAAGCCTGGTAGATGCGTTTCTTGTTTACGCGTGAATATTATGCTAATGAGCGTGCGCGCTAAAGTTTGTTTTTTTTCTACAAAATATTGGGATTGATTCCAACTCCAATACCACCTACCAACAAGAAACAACTAAATCGAAAGATTTATTATAAGTACAGAGTGAAGCACCGGAAACAAGTGCTATACCATTCACAGATCACGAAAATGAGATAATAGCAATGAGTAAAAGCAACGTGGCTAAATCTATATACAAAATCCCGTAAAGTTCTAGATGAAAACTAAAATTCTAACGAATTCTAAAGTTCATCAAATTGCAAAAAAAAACCCTGCTTACTACGGGACTAGGTTATTGCTGTAATGGATTGAGGTCAAAGGAGAATCGTCAATATGACTAAGAATGAGAAACACCATGGCAAAAAAAAACAAAATAAAACAAAAACACAGTGCCTCAAAGACTAAAGAATGACAGAAAACCATTGTATGCTTTGTCATCAAATACTCGTCAAAAAAGGAAAGCTCATGTTATTATATTCGATAATTGTGCTATATAACCAAAGTTAATCCATTTTAAAACTTTCGTCCCGTCGTTCTCGGCGATACCGCAGCTCATTCAGCCTATGTGACAAATATATATTTTCTTCGAGTCCATAGTTTCTTACCGTCTCATAATTTGTTTCCTCACAGGACTTGTTAATTGGTTTGTAATGCAACTCAAAGTTACAACTGCGAACATAATGTTATACGCAAGAACAAGACGGAAGTTACTTAGCCATTCTAGAGAAGAATAAGCTCCTAGAAGATCGAAAGTTGTGATGCCTAAACAGCATTGATTATTATGAAAGTTCTGAGTGTCATACCGAGAGTATTAGCCAGCACAGGTAACGCTGAACTTAACACTAATACAACACTACAATTCATGATGATGGAAGTCATCGAAGTGCCTTTGTTCACTGGTCGCAGAGATCGTATGAAAGGCATAGAATATACTCCAATCAAAGAAGTTGCCATGATATAACTAGAAAACAGTGAAAAACATGAAAAGCTGTGCAAACAAAAACCAACAGAATTATGACAATCTCAACAGCGGCTCCTACTACACCCAAAGTGTGACGAGTATGAACTTCCATATATTGAGCGTAAACAGGCAAGCTTCTATACCCGAACGTTAACTTCAAAGAGTTTATCACTACCATCAACAATGAGATCACCTAGAAATGAAGAATTCAACTTTTCTAATCAGAAATGAGCAAACCGTTAAAGCCAAAAGGACGACAATCATAACTGGATATTTGAGAATGTGCATTACATGCTGATACCAACGAAGCGATTTCTGACCTAATGGGACCCAAAACGAAAACAAAACTTTTAACTGATTTCTTATATTAGCATAATTTTATTTCTCCAAAACTTACTTTGTCGTTTGATGTCATTGGTACTTTAGGTGCGGTCAAATTTAGAATGGAATCATTCGCCGTATCATCACCGACTCCTATGACAGGTGAGCCTAAATAAAAAAAATTTGACATTTCACTTTTTTTCAGACTGTACCATTAACTCTATAAACCAACTGATAATCTTCCGCAACACGGAGTATTTCTGAAACGTCTGAAACAATTAATTACGAAATATATTGATATATAGTTTCCAACCTTTCCTCAATTTAGGCGTATTACTCTGATAGGCTAATCTTCTTTCCAAATCTTTCTTCTCTAGAGATCCTGCAGCGAGCTCGTCTACACTAGGGATCGGTCTCTAAATATAGAAAGAGCTTTAAAAACGAACACGAAATGAAATTTCAAACCATTGCCATTTCTCCTACTATTCCAAACATTTTCGCAAAACCTATGGGAGTTGAGAGCAGAAGAAGGACAACTCCACACAATGATACACATGAATAAACTACAGGGAGGTTAACAGATGTAATGCTCAATAATGACACCTTCAATACAGTTATTAAAAAGCATTTTTGCTACAAAAGAATACCGTAGATGACATCAGGGTTAAAACAACATCACCAAGGCATAAGATGACAACGATCAGCAAAGCACATACGGCGAGAGTTTCATAAACACGTTGCATAATACCCTATAGAACGGGATTAACAGTTAACCATAACCTTTGAAAAACTCACATTTTTTCGTTTACTGAACCCTTGGGATTCGATAAAAAAATAGCTAAAGGGTAGAAGAACAAAAAGGCTAAGGTTGGACAATATAAAAACATAATTCCAGAGACTATTAATCAATGACCAAGAGAGCCACTTAAAATCGTTTCGTTAGAAGATATAGAACAGTATAACAAACCTGAAGGTAGTAACTTCCCGGATATCTCTGAATTAATTCAGCCGCCAGGACTGAGAACGGCAAGAGAGTAATGGATCCAATAGAAACAGCTAGAGAAAATGTACATATCCAAACACTGAAAGATTTTTTAGACTTTTTGAATTGAGATGCTTCGCTACCTAATTCTATACACAAAATAATCTTCGTCACCGGAGTAAAGCGAATCTGTATCTGATTTTGACTTGAACTTCGATATTATCCAGTAGGATAACAGATAAAGCGTCATGAACAATAGTAGACACACCTAGAATAAGAGTATAAACCAAAATGTTCGAGGAACTCTTTCTAACGATTTGCTGGCGGACGAAAGAATGAAACTCTCGTTCTTGCTCTTCAAGAGCTCGTCTTCGTAGTTCCTCCTCAGATTCACTCCTTCCAAACAGCATCCACCAAACGGTGGATGCTGTAGCTCGTAAAAATTTTCCAAGCAAGTCCACAATGCTGGAAAATTGAATTTTGGAACGTATTTATTGAATTAATAAGTAAAATAGGGAAAGGTTCGAGGGAGGGGGATTATCAGCAATCTTTTTCGCTTTTTTTCAAAAATGGAAAACAAAGAGTAATTGCAAAAGATATCAATCGACTTTGAGATAAGACAATGAGAAAATAAGGAAACGTCATCACAAGGGGGAAGAGCTGACACACACACACACAGTGATGAGTGCATAGTTTTTTTTTCGTTTTCAAAGTTTGAAAACACAGTTGTTCTTCATTGTCCAAAATGCAATATTATGTCAATGTTATATGAAATGAATATTCATACAAAGTGCTCTTTACTATTTCTCTCGCATTCCTCTATCTAATAGTTCAAACCTATCAACCGAAAAAGTTACCATTTTCCAAATTGTCCAGCCTTCATAAGATCCACGCTAATCGAAGAACAAACTCTAATCCAAAATGTAAGTGGTCATACAATGACATTAGATGACATTAATCAATCTTTCTTTCACGTGCGAAGAACTCTCTCTTCTACCCTTCATCTCTCTTATATTATCTTTTTTCTATCGCGTTCTCACTGTCTCGCGCACCCTATCTCTATATAAGCGAGTTGTACAGGACAAAGTACAAAATTTACTAGGACATATAGAAACACTAATTTTACAGGAGAAATATGTCAATAATAAACAAAACTTAAACAGCTTGGGATTTAGCTCTCCGTTTAGTTGCGTTTAGAGCACAGACAGACGCCTACGCAAAAGGACAGATGGTGTAAATCATGGGGGTACGCAAATTCTCGTCAAACGTACAAGCTCAACAAAGGAGTCACAGCTGTTCTGAATCGACACCGGAATAATGTTTGTTGTGATGTTATTGAGGAATAGGAGACGTTTTATCTGATTGTTGTACTAATTTTTACGAAAACCTACTTTTCCGGTTCATCCCAGGTCATCGTTTGGTTTTGAAAGTGCATACGAGCTTCATCGCTGATCAACGGTAGAAATATATAATAATCAAAGGGTTGATGGAGTATTTCCATGGCTATCCGAGAAGCAGTTGCTTCTGGCTGCCACTAAGCTAATACCCTGAAGTTAAAAAAAAAGCTATCGGTTACACTAGGCATCAAACAAATTTTTTCTAGTAAGGCATAAATAGGAATATTATAAGAAAATAGGAAAGAAGGACATCAAGTTGTTCATTATGATGCCCGTTAGGCATGTGATCGAGGTTACGAGAACTGGAAATTCTAATTGAAGCAAGATAAAAGACAAGAAGTCTAGCGATTCTGGCAGGTCATAATGATGTGCTGATTGTACACAAACATACAAACACATTGATTCGAGAGTACAGAAAGTTTGCAAGAAAGGAAGGGATTCGGAAGTAGGTCTCAAGTCCAACTTTTGAGAATTAATTTCTTATCAAAATGTTCAGATTTCTCACTTTTATTTTTCGCGCACACCTTTTTGACGGATGACATACGAGATGATTTGTGTCATTGTTTAGACATCGTGACTCTAATCTTCTCAACTTTATAAGGAACTGTCTTTAATTCAATTGTTGGAGAGTAAAGCAGAAACAAGGGCATGTTTCGAAAGTTTTAAATTTGTGAATGGCTATGAAGAGAGAACATTAAATGTGAAATCAAGCATCCTTCCTTTTATTTTTTGTTTTTTTTTCTTGGCCTGCTATCAAGTCTCTCTTAAGGTGCGTTCTGCCGGTAGACCTCTCTCTTCTTTCTATCTTTCTAATTTAATCGTTTCAATCTATGTATGTTGACATTCTTGCAATGAACAAAAAAGAGACCAGAAAACGCTTTGATTGGGTTAGAACTCGGAAATGTTTCTCAATAGTAACTGCAAAGAAGACGCTGTGAAAGGAAATGTATTCGATGGCAGCAAGATAACTTCGAGCTTTATTGGAGATTTTAGATTCGCGGATTACAAATATGTAACGGAAGAGAGCTGAACGAACGAAACTATGTTTGAGCATCATCAAGTCAAAAAAAATCTGGTTATGTGTCTCTCGTGTCATTCTAAAAACATTATAAACTAGTTCCCAAATATTTAATGTGCAATTAATTGGAATTGAAGAAATACAATAAAGTTAGTCACTTGATGGAGAAACTGATGGCAGTTAAGGGATTGATTATTGTTTGGATATTGTCTGAACAAAAAATGGAAACTATTTATTCAGATGCTTATGTTAACGTTTCCAGTATACCGATGTTTATTAATTCCTATTGACACTATTTGCCAAATGTGATAAATGGCTGTGTCACATATGGAAACTTAAGCTCTGATAATCAGATTAAGATATTTATCTTTCACATCTTGTTCTACTCACGACAGTCTGGCAAAACACTTTACTACGTTATAATCCTTTTTGTGTTCATCTGTGTTTGCATGCTGTTTACGCAATAGCTTCATATGAAGGTGCACGAGGTGCACGTGCGGTTGCATTTCAGACGCTCGGACTATCTCTCAATACGTTTCACATCTCATCAAAACGAACTTTAGAAAAAAAATATAATTTATCTAGTTATCGTAAGTAATTCACAAAACATTATAAACATAAATTATAAAATTAAGTTATTTTCTATGAGAAAGGGTAAACAAAATCATAAAAAATCCATTTCAAATTATTATTTTTAAAAATCAATTGGACTATATCTGTTTGTATGAGGCGGTGGTGAATGATGAGAAGCAAGCTTGACAAACTTTGCAGAATTATTTCGCGAAAAAGAAAAAAAAATTCCATTCAAATCATTTGGAAGCTATAATAGATTAATCATCCCCACCATCCAAGCTTTTCTTCTTTTTCTGCGCATTTTCTTTAAGAGCAGCAAATGGTCCACTTTGTGCAGATAAACATGCTGGAATAGTATAGTTTTAGTTAAACTTTCGAACAATTATTGAATTTCTACATTTATTCGGCTTTGCATTGAACTTTTTCGGATCAGCCTCATTTCGTCCATTCTTCATGGTGGAGTCTTTTGTGATATCAACTACAAATACATTTTCACATTAATTTTCGCTAGAAAATTCATTGTGGTACACGTGTTCGACACGTAAACACACGTGAGAAAGCTGTTTAAGGAAATACAAACCTATATTGCACATGACACTAGCAGCTTCGAACAATCCTTTACTCTGAAATAACACATAAAATAGAGAAATTAGCATAAAAATTTGTTAGAAATTCAGACAATTAAAAATGAAATTTATTCGCCACATATGGCCAGGTATCTAGGCGAATAATTCATTTTGTACTAAATTCTATCAAAATTAATTTTATTTAGCTACAAACTATATATTTCATATATCTTACCAAATCTTTTTTATCATCACTATTACTTCGTTGAATTTCGCCTTTTTTTGAATTGGAACGTAGAATAAGAGAAGCTGACGATGAAGCTCCGTCCTTTTTCAACGATTTTCTCATCTGTAATTTTAATTTTCACACAATTTTTCTTATAATTTCTCACTTCTGGAGCTGTATCGGACGTATATTCTGAAATATATTCAAAATTAAAGAGAATACGAATAATTTTAAATAACTTTTTAAAACTTTTCCATCCTTAACATTCATTTGAGCGATGCCATTGGTTACTTTCTCTTCTAATGTATCAAACTTCTTCTCCTGAGATGAAGGAAAAAAAAACAAAAATTATTTAGAATAATCAATGAGAACAGAGATTACTTTGGTTGAGGAATGCTTGGAGACATTGGTTGTCTTTTTATGTTCAGAAAACATGTTGACCTGTAGAAATTAAAAATAAAAATGGCACTGATACTTGGAAATAATAAACGAGAATGAAAAGCCAGGAGCTAGAAGGTGTGGTTATGGCGGTTGTCAGTCAATTATAATTCTATTACTCTGTTACTTTTAATCTCATTTCTCTCTTTGTCTAACACTCTATCTCAAATATAGCTTATAACTTATATGAGAGAAAGCATGTTAATCTCATAAATTATAAAACTGATTCCGACCCGATCAACCCGTGGGTTCACGTGAAACTTTCCATACAAATTAGGCTTTTTCACTACTTTAATGATCAAAAAAGAAAAATAACAATAATTTTGAATGAATCAACTAAAAATATTCATTAAAACTTTGATAGTATGGAAACAGAGAGTGATATGGAGAAAAGCCAAGATAGCTAGAAAGATTTGCTTTCAAGAAATAGTACGGAATGAGAAATATGGAAGGGAAAAAAAAAGTTTTAATATAAGAAGGACAACGATAATAAATAATTCTCCCTTCATCTCCTCCCACCAAACTTCGTATCCAGAGTTTGTCTGCTTTCTTTCTCATCTATAACATGGCATATCACCTGCTTCTGATCAAACTCTATGTATGAAATATTAGAAAAAGATTGCCCACTGAGTGTAAAAGTTAAGTTTGTCTCAAAGAATTATTTCTAAAATGGATCTTTGCTATCCATTTCAATACAATAACTAGAGTATGATGTGAGAAAAGCTGAGAAAAAAGCTGAAATCAAGTGAAAAAATTGAAAAAAAAAATTTTGATTAAAAGCCACTGTGTGAATAAGGAGAGATTAGATGAACAAATTAATATTTTTTAAACGTCTACACAGATGTCACGTCCAATATGTTTTTTATAAAATTCACAATGAGCTGATGTTCGCGAGTAAACTCCTTCAAATATTTAAAGAATATTTAAATGAACATTTCGTATGAATAACCTGAGTGTTTGCGATCAGCACAGCCTTCTCCCCATGATATGAGACCAACTTGATACCAATTTTCTTCTTTTCTATTCTTTTTCATTACTAATGGCCCTCCCGAATCTCCCTGAAATGACTTCCTGTTTCAACAATACAACTGTTTTGATGTAACCTGACAAGCATCATGTCTTCCTTTTCCAGCACATTGCATGGTATCATCCAATTGGCCATCATACTCACGCTCACACACCTTGCGAGTTATGAACGGAACTGATACTTGCCGAAGATGGCGTGAAGCAGATCCACCATCTGTCATGGTTTGAACACAGTCATATTTTGAATATTCCAAAAAATACCCGATGTAACACCCCATCCTGTGGCATATGCTGTTCTTCCAACTTTTACCATCTTATCTTGTTTTTTCGGGATACAAACTGGTTGAATATGATTTGTGAACTCTACGGGCTTCGCCAACTACATATACTATTATAAAGTTGAAATTGTAAAGTGTGTTTGGACCTTCCATAGAGAGACGTCATATGAGTAGGTGTACGGATCGGAGAAGTTTGGATGAGGTATAATTTGTTCAACATCAAGGTACTGCTCTCCTTCTTCATCATCGTTTCTAAAATCGAATAAGCCCAGTTTTATAGCCATTTTTTCGGGTGCATCTGATACACCAACTCTGAAATAAAAGTAAAAAGTTTTTGATCTCAGATATTGCATATTACGTGCAATGAGCAGCTGACAATACCCATTGCTTATCAATGAGAGATCCACCACACCTCAACTTGCACGTTGTCTTCAGCTCAGGCTGTTGCAATTCAGGTGGAACTAAAATTCATGAATATCTATGAAACAAAAAAGCGTGTCTTCTATACTTTTCATACAAATTTCAGCTTGCCATGGCCATGAATATGGCACTGCTGGCTGTCCACCAACGATACGACTCTTCAAGAAACAAACAACTTTCAAATATCAGAAAAATAGAAGTTAGTTAGACACACAACAAGGAAACAAAAACAGTAAAACAAAAAATACAAAAAATAATTATACCGATTGAGGCCTAACAGGAGTACGTCCACAATCTGTCCTAGTTGTAATGAGTTTTTTGGGCCAACTCCAATTCCAAAAAAGGAATGCAGATGTTGTTGATAATGCTCAAAATGAATAAATCATACGAAGATAATATGAATTTTATAACTAACTTAATATTAATATAGTTAATATTCTATTAACCGATAACATTTTTTCTGAATGATGGCAAGAGCAATTTTAATTTTCATTTCTACTTTCTATATAAGTATGCACGTGTTTATTCAGCTTATCATAGAAGATTTTGTAAAAATATTAACAGAGACCATGTATGAATCAAACAAAGAAATAACAAAACAACAAATAAATTTCATTTTTTGTTTCCGCTTATTTCAAACAAAACAGTATAATTAATAGCAGTCAAGTCAATGTTTTTTAAATTACATTAGCATAATAGATTCTCACGTGAAACATAGGTACGTATGCTGGTACGTACGCTTGCGTTTCATTTCTCAATCAGTCAGATCATCAAACGGTTGCATACAGCTTAAACATTATAAAAAGTATATTTCAGTTCAATAAATATCCAATTCACGTCATTATCTTTGAAAGTTGATAAGTAGAACATTGAGTAAACATTAAGAAAACATTGTATATCATGTTCAAAAACTACATTTAAATACAATAAAGATTTATATAATATAAAAATTGATTAATGTAACATTAATTTTTTATTTTGTTTTTATTCTTCTATTACTATATATGTAGATGAATGTTGTAAACTAATGAGATTTATCAATATTTTTCCCTCAGGCAACACTAATCACATCTCGTACTGACCTTGCCTTTTCATAATCCTTAAAGGGTTTATTGACAAACATTGCATTAATGAAATGATGTAGAAAACATAATATGTTGATGTGATGTAATAAGTTAACAGAATTCTTATAATATCCGCTTATATCCGTACAGAAAAGACATTTTTGCCAAATTTACTCTTCTTCACACATCATCCATCTTTCGACCTATCCTCTATTAATCTTTCAGAAATGACCTTATTCGATAATCCAACTCAATTCCTTCGTTCTTTTCATATAGCCTCCACAGGCATTGACTCTTCTTCATGTTCATCTTCACACAATTGCATTCAAAATTTTTGTTCAAAATAATTCTTTTTCTTCATTGAATTTGTTTTACATTAAGATTATTACATCAAACCAACAACAGGTATTCTTCATTTTTTAAGTCGTTTTTTTAAGATAAGCAAGGTTAGAAATAACAAAAACCGGAAAAAAAATGGCTCATAATATCATTTTTCAAGCTTCAACAAGCTTTAATGATGATGAATGATTGTTATCATATCACCTTTTACATCAACATTTAACAGCTATGATGAACTCTCTCCTTGATTATCTCTTACGCACTTGTGTATAACTTTTACTTTTTCTTCTTCATCAATGATTTCTCATTTGGCTTTCAATTCATTATCATCATCTTTCCATTATGAGAAAACACTTAACATCTATTAGTTGTTAATAGAAATCATTTAAATAATCATTTTTCTATTCTAATCAACATCTATGAATGTATGAACATTCATAGTTTCATAGAATATTCAACTCAGAAGCATTGTAATCAGCATCTCATCATCAGATTTCGTTGGCCTAATTCTCAGAATTTCTGTTATTGTACGGTCATCTTCCTTTTTTGTCTGATTTTTATCGCTTTTTTCATGAAAAAGATTAAAGAATTGTTGTCAATTGCACTCACTTTTCATTGAGAACAAGAAAGAGAAGGTTTTAAGTGAAATTCACTTGTTAATCAAATTCTTTACCTTTTTTATTGTCAATCGTTCTCGTCGACAAAGATCTCTTAAATGGTTGAAATCAACAAATGATAGAATTGAAAGTCTTGCGCAGGATAATGAAGCCTTCATGAAATCACTTAAGCTTCAGATATATAGACAGAGAGAATGAGAGAGAAAGAGCGTGAAACATAAAAAATATTGAGAGAGAGAGAGAGAGAGAGAAAGAGTCCGGTGTCAGTTTTATCTTTCACATAGGGATATAGTCAGCCTGAGAAACTGTCCAAATTGAACCGTCTGAGATTATCTGTTGTCCAGCTTCTTCTTATCTTGTTATTTTTGCTTGCTCTCTCTCATATCTCCATAATATTTCGTATAAAGTCTCTATCAGCTTCTGCTTGAATACGCTAACTACAACGGGTTGTTTCTCGTTTTCAAACAAAAATTCATAGACTTATCTTTCAAATTGTTGCAGTTGAAACGTTGAGCAGAGATACATCCATACATCATCAGCGTTAGATCTTCTTCAGCTTATTCATTGCGTCTTGTTTTGGAACACTTTTTTTTCTCAATCATTTTCATTTTCATTGTTGTCTAATATCAAATATGTTTTGCCGTCATTCAAGCATTAATGGCTTAATAGCTATTTATGAGGAAGTTCTGGTTTTGAACTTACTTGCAAATCGTTAAACGTTTTTCATGTCATACTATCACATCATATGTTTTCATATCTGCAACTCATTCATGTATAGATGCTTTAGCCATTCCAATTATGAAGCTTTTAGATATTCAAACAGTTTTGAGATTTGAAATGAGATCATTATAGTCGACAAATTTCTATGCTGCTGACCTAAAGCAGTTTAGGCTTACGACCAGGTTACTTCTGTATTCCAACCAGATCGTCATCATCATCATCTATCCCTTTACTTGGCTTAACCCCTCCCATTCCCAAATAATTTTGATTGATTTATCTATTTTCATCATTATTTTTTCTTTTCTTACCATTATCATTTTCTGTTTGAACTTTCTTTTCTTACAAAAAAAAATAATTTGAATGTTCAAAAAGGTAACAATGAGTTTGAAACGGAAAACTGGCTAATGTCTTTGAAGACATGTCGTCGGACGTTCCTTAATCTCATTTTTCATTTCCACCGATATCTTTCATTTCGCTTCAGGCAATTAATTCATTCCACAAGCTCATACATTCTTTTGTACTTTTCGATATTTGAATGGAAAATGTAACTCTTTGCTTGCCGTTTACAACATTTGAATACTTTCACGTCAAACAGAAAGTGAAAACGTGTATGGATCGTCATCTTTAAAATATTTTTTTTGCGCGTTATCGCTTGAATTGACTAGAGACACAGAACGTTGACAGATCTATCTTCTTCGTTTTCCATGGATTTTGATGAGAAAAAAAAAAGATTTTTTATTGCAATTTTTGCGTCATCTGCTTGCTTAAAGATCCCGTATATGTTGATGCTAAATCAATTCATCATCCGCTTGGAAAAGCAGCAAAAAAAAAGATTTTTTTCATAGATAGATGAGATGTGTTTGTTAAGTTTATTGTATGTTATCTTTCTCACTAACTATACATAAATCTGTATGTATTTATATGTATACGTATGTACATATCTATTTATCAGGTTATCAAGATTTTCTCTCAAATTACATTGACCATATGAGATGCCATTCCATTCTCGATTTTCTTCAAGAGAACTACTCCTTTCTTTTATCTTATCCTCTTGACGAAGTTGCAGAACAGGTGTTGCCTGTCTCAAGTCTATGATGAGGGCGGCTTTTCCATGATAACCTCCAGGTATCATCAGGCTTCCCATTGCAATAATCTTTCAATTTCTTTGCATCTCTTCATTAGTACTTATCCATAGAAGGGATATAATGCTAAGAAAGCGAGAAAGGGGCTATTTGACGTTCCGGCTTCGAGAAAAGCCACCTTTACCGTCCAGTCATATCAAGCTACTCCTCCCTGACATTCTATCAATTTCATTTCATTTGAGCTTTTTCCATTTTGGCCACTATTCATGTTAAACATAAATTGTCTCTTTTTATATATTTTTTTGTTCGCAAAAATATTATTTTAATTAATTAACATTCATTTGAACTGTTTAGATGAAAATGAGAAAAAGGAGGGAATGGTTCATGATATTCTTAATTCTTCCAATGGTAATATATTAATTTCATTTTAACTAATTATATGTAACTAGATTATCGCTTATAATAACAAACTGTTTGTTACATGAATAGATAACAAGATAATCTATCCTGTACTTGTTTATTATTCATTGGATGTCACATGTCTTTGTTCTACTAACTGGAATGTAACTGTTTTATATATCATCATCATCATAGATATTTTAATCATTTCAAGGTTTCTGCTCAATATGATCTCAAAAATGATTTATACGGCGCTGAGCGCATCTCATTTAATCCTGTTCCTCCACCAGTCATCCGTCAACCTCCACCTCCACCTCCTCAACATCAGGGTAATGCTAGAGGATATCAAGTCAGAGAGCATTTTTAATAAGTTAAAACTTATCCTTCTTACTTAGGCTCCTCCACATGCTGCATTTTTCCAGCCTCCTCGTAGTTATTCTAACTCATACTTAAATAATAACTTTGTTCCATCGAACGTTCAGAGGCCAAGCGGTTTCCGACCACCAATGGGCCAACCGGTAATTATTTGGAATAAAATATTTGCTTAACTGACTTCCTCAACCTTTTCAGCATAGTTCTGCTAACTTTGCCCCTCCTAAGGTATGTCAGTTTTATATTTTGATGATGCAAAATCCACATAACTCATGCCAAGTTTGAAATTTTAACTTTTCTTTTTTTTTTGTTTTACTATCAAGTTTGCTGTGAATTTTAAAATCACTCTAATATGTTTGCGTGTGAATTCTAATCTTTCTCTACAGCACAACCTTCCACATCTGAATATGATGCCTGAAGTTTTTAATGATTGGCGAATGGCACAACTACATGAACAACATCCTCAACGTTTCACTAATCTTGCGAATCATGACGTTCCCCAGCAGTCAAATGTTTTGAAACAAATTCGGAAATCATCTGAAGCTGTTCGACGTCCTGTCTTCACTAATGCGAAACCGGAATATCAAGAGATCGACCTAACACCTAATCATTACGCCAGCGATTCGTCAACCCTCTCTACAACCACATCGACTCAGCCAACAACGACAACCTCAGCTACAACTACTACATCTAGGAGAGCTTCTGTTGTTTATGAATCTGATCTTTATGGTGATCGAAGAATCCCAAGCTCTCCTCCAGCTAGTCAACCTACACAGACTTCATTTGGTACGCCTTATAAAGCAAAGGAAACTGCCACCAGAAAAATCCCAACTGTTTCTCATTCCAATTACCCGGCTCAGAC